GCCATTGTAGGAAGACAGGACACTGGGCTAGATGAACCATTGGTCTGACCCTGTATGGCCGTTCTTATATAGATTAGAGGGTGGTTCTGGCTACTGACTTCCCTTACTCATTTCCTGACAGAGGAAAGTCCTGTCGTGGGAGGCTGTTGGCGAATTTGTCAAACTTGGCATAATATGATTTCCTGAAGTATGCCAACTGCTTGATAATTAGCTATCCTGAAATGAAGTCTGGAGGACCAGTAGATCTAAGTGTTTACAATCCTTGTCTGTGGGAGTAGATCTGAGACATTGTTGCCTGGACCTTTCTGAAGTGGCCAGAAACACCACCAAGTTGGGAACTGGGTGAGAGAACAGGAATTCTGAATTCTTAGCCAGCACATAATAATGCCTCTCCACTCCTTTGGGGGTTGGGGTACAGGTGGCAGGGGTGTGCCACACGGTCCTAGCCAACTCCAGTATGGCCTCTGTGAGGGGGCTTTGAATACGATGCTGTGTTCTTTGGGACAACGCACTTCCTATAGCAGACATGATACTGGCGAGATGTCACCAAGTGAGGGCGTGCTGGCGAACTAAGCTAATTCCCAGGAGAGCCAGCAGGAGGTGTCACAGCGGTGAGTCAAACCCTGACACAGCCTCATTGACCAGGTGGGCTATTCTCATTAAGTCCAGAGGCATGGAAGATGTCCACGCACTTGTGTTAGGAGTCCTGAATCTTCTCTAGTGGCATCTGAAGTTCCCCAATGACTCTGCCGGTCCAGGAATTGCCGAAGTCATCGGGGGGGAGAGGGGATACTGAGGTCACCACTTCATCAGGCGATGGCAATGGTAATGTGGCTGGTTTCAAAGGAATTTCCAGAATTGGAGTGTAGTACTACTATTCCTCTATTGGACCTGGGGGCAAATTTGATGATTCGTTTGAAGAAGAGGCAGGTGGCACCTCCCTGGTGTATCGAATAGATTTTGAAGGGGGATGCTAGTCCCAGGGTCCCCAATAGGCCAGCAGCTGATCATAAGGGTCCCCAAGGTATGGGGTAAAAGTGTCTCAGAGTCAGGTGAAGTCGCAGTTGATTCTAGGGCTGTGTGGGTTTCCTGGGAAATGAGTAAGGACAGTACAGGAGAAGCAGTTCCTCTGAGAGTTCTGAATCTCTTGAGGAGGAAAAGCCTGACTCAGTTTCCAATGGCAGTACCGCTGGTGCCACTGGAGAGGTCTGAGTTGTGAATGGGAGAGGAAAGGGGAGCCCATAAGCTCCGTCCCATAGGCAGGTTTCTCAGAGGAGATGTGAATTCTACAGAAACAGAGGGTCCCGAAGGAGCAGGGGATTCTGGATTCAGGAAAGCAAAAATGTCCTGTGGTGTGGCTATGGATCTAGACCTTCCAGGTGTAAGGGAGACTTTTTCTGTTCAGGCCAGCAAAGATGATGGTATCTGGCAGTGGTCAGTCTTTACCGGCACTAGAGGGACCCAGGTCTTATGAGGAGCTGGGGGTGGTGATACCAACAGAGCACTGTCTGGAGCCAGCGGAGACCCATGTTTCTGTGCTTTCTTATCAAGGCCTATGGAACTTAGGACATACTAAGTCCTCATGGACTGAGCTGGTGGATTTGCTTGCAGGCACATCTGATTTCTTTGATGTGAAGTGGACATAGAGGAAGACTTAATCCCATGCTTATGAGAATGCTTCCCAACTAGGCCCCGCTGTGGTGTCTGTGGATTCTCTGGCACCAGAGTCAGACTTTGCAGCAGGTGGCTCACTCCTTGCTGATTCAGGCTGATGTACAGGTGGGGTTCCCCGGCCTGGGTCCATTTGGGATCTCATGGCCATCTCCATGAAATACTTACAGAAGCAAAGTGACAGGCTTCAGAGTAGCAGCCATGTTAGTCTGTATCCACAAAAAGAAAAGGAGTACTTGTGGCACCTTAGCGACTAACACATTTATTTGAGCATAAGCTTTTGTGAGCTACAGCTGATTTCATCGGATGCATGCGATGAAGTGAGCTGTAGCTCATAGAAGCGAAGTGCCTACCCTTCTTAGGTAAGATTGGAGGAAGGGTTGGCAACTACTGCACTGAGCTGCAATGTGAGCTTCTCCCAGGGAATAGAGGTTGCGTTGATAGTTGTTGCGAACCAAGAAGGATCATGGGCAGGAGACGCAGAGTTTGAAGCGTGGAGTTCTGGACAAAGTACAGTACCCGCATGGGGTACTGGGTTGTGGGGGGAATTCCCCGTAGCCTAATCTAATTCTAAAAGGTACTAAAACTATTAAAACCATTACATCTATACAAGTTAATAAGAACTATTAAAAGAACTATGAACTATTTATAACTGAATTAATATTGTTTTTCAGAATGACATCATAGCTGAGGATCCTAAAGTTTCCAACCATGTGATGGTGAGAAGGAACTGAAAAGGTGATTGACCCACCCTGCCTTTATCACCTCGGACAGAAGCACAAGGCGAGCCAGGGCACATACTTGGACACTACTTTCAAATTCTCTCACTCCAGGCACATGCGTAACCCAAAGTGGAATACAATAGGGACCATCACTAAGAGAAAAGGGCTCCTTGTGCCCTTTCCCTCCCTTACAAATGCACACAGGGGCTGTACACAATTTGACGCCAACTCTGTATATTCCAGTCGTGCCTATTCTCTTTTTCATGTATAATTTCTTTCCTAGAAAACCCTTGAACAGCCCCTCATAAAGCCCCATTAGACTTTTATTTCTCACTTTTTTTAATGGAAGTCTGTTGTACATTAATTATGGCATCCCGCAGAAACCTCTGAACATCATTTACATTCTTAAGGCTCCCTCCAGTCCACATTTCTTTCCAAGAGAGTGAAAGTTGCAGAGGATCTGCATTCTTCCCAAACAACACAGCTGACCCTATTCCTAGTAAGAAGCTCCTCTTTGAAAGTAGCTAAGTAATCTCCTTATTGGCACTGAGCAGTCTCCCAAGTCTTACCTTTCTCTGGATGGGCTGAGGTAGGGGTAAGAGACACAGACAAAGTGACATAGGAATAACACTGCACTGCAGTTAGCCAGGGCAGGGGACCATGAAGTCCAGAGCTGCTGCTTGTTGGCTAGCGATCCCAAAACAAAGCTGTCACCCAAGGAGAAGAAGAATAATCATATTGTCCCAGAGATTCTATTCCCCCCTTTGTCCTTTAAAAGCTAGTGATCAGAGGCTCAGGAAGAACACAGAAGCCTAAAAAAGACTGTTGAAGAAGAGGAAGCTACCAGTGGAGTTAAGAATCCTTCTTGCCAACTGAAAGGTAAGCTTAGGCCATCACAGCTTGCTACTGGGATTACTTAATAACTAGGATTGCAGTAACTGTTGCAGGCTGCATGTCTCCAACAGTAGAGAAAGGATTTGAGCATGGATTAGGAATTGCAGCACATATGAGATTTATATAAACTCTCATTCCCCAAATAGCTCCACAATTCCCAGCACAGATCTTGGGTGGTGTTTTTGGCTTTGCACACCACGCTGACCTGTCCTTTTGGCAGGCTGATCATCTGCATGCATGGATTTCTGAGTCTTAAAAGGTTTGGAAGGCCGCATATCAATCTTTTCTTGAAAAGAATCCTTACTTTGTAACATTTCTATCCACAAGAATTTACTCAGGATTTTCCTTTGCTCCCTTAAATTTGCTTTTTTTTTATTATCTGGTACCTTTATACTTATTACTACTCTGTTCCAAAACATGTTAAATTTAATTAGTTCAGGACTGCTTCCACTAAGCCTCCCTATTATTCTCATAGTTTATAAAGCAAATACTGTTTCATCATCAGAACAAATTAAAACATGTACTAAATGTTTTATGGGGTTAATCCTCTTACCGAAACTCATCACTCATCAATAGGATTGTTTATTATCTTACATTTGAAGAGAAAAATAATCTCCAGTCTACTATAGGCTACACCACAAATAAATAAAATGTAATCCTGCCTTGAATTTCAAACCAAGCTTGCATAAGTCACAACAGAAGTTTTTCCAATATACATCCAACTTCACATTTAACATAAAACACTCTACGCTCTTTCAATTGTTCATTTGTTACCTTATCATTCCTTTCAGTTTACCAGACTCTCGCTTTATTTTTTAGACTTAACACAAGGTTTTTGCCCACTATAAATGATTCCTTGCATTCTGCCACAGTAGAATCCAAACCTTAGAAGTGTGGAATTCCACCTGCAAGATGCTGAGCAACTTCAACTGCTAGCGAAGTCATTTAATATATGTCTGAAGATACTGGAAGGTAAAAGTGCTCAGCACCTCACAGATTCACGTACTTATGGATGGTTTCGGATACTCTACTCAGGTTGAATTGTATCTTATTAAACAAGTAGTCCCTCTACAGATGTTCTTGTGGAGTGAAGGTGATACACAACATGAGTAAGGGTATCAGAATGTGTCATGAAGTCACTGTTTAACAAGTGCAGATTACAAAGATTGTATCATATTTTAAAATTTTGCTCTCTTAAAAAAAAACTACTAATTTTTCAGTTTTTCTACTCTTTTAGGGGGCGGTCCAAAGCCCTTTGAAGTCAACTGGGGAATCTGTCTGTCAATGAAAGATGACAATACTTAAATAAAATACGCTAATTGGCCCCAATATTTTCTGGATGTACAACACGAAAAAAAGCCTGCCCCAATCCTGTAACTGGATCTGTGCAGATAGACTGCAGCACCCATACAAAGTCCCTTTGAAGTCAACGGGCCCATACACAGGAACAGAGAATTCTTCTGCATGGATCCAATTTGAGGATCAGGATCTTATTAATTAGCTTTGGCTCATAATTACTACATTTCAGTTTAATTTAAAGAAATTCATCCAAACAAACATGGGACATGAGAGAAAAAACAAGATACAGTTTATAAGGACTACATAAAAGCAGTATATACAGGTGTTTAAATATTGATACCATAATGCTGTACACCCTTGTGCAATATGGAAAAATAATTCTTAATCAAAAGAGGAAATAAATAATTAACATACTTTTCATGGTCCCATCTTCTTCTTCATCATCATCATCATCATCGCTATTTATCACCATAGTCCCTAAGTCTGATTCTAACATGGTACTGTTATGTTCAATCATTGTCTGGGCACTTTCACTCATTGTGCTTGTGGCCCTCATTGTGCCAGCACTCTCTGAATTAGTTTTCACCATGGTGTGAGAGTCCAGCTCGTCTTCTTCCTGCAAACAAATATTTATTAGGAATTATTTGCAGCAAAACATTTAAATGAACAAGTCAAAAGTTATTCGTTTAGGTGCCTTATTTTATTAATTTTGCAACTTCCGCTGACTTTTTTTCAATTACCTTTAATTTTTGTAGACCTCTGCCATGTTTAAATTGAGAAACTATAAAATATTGTTGTTTTCAAACAAGTGTCATGTCTACTAAGTTGGCCTTGCAATAGACCTCAAACAGGTATGTTGATTATCCTCCCCTAAATTCCAAGTCCAATTTTGTGTATAGTGTGTGACAGGATTAAGTTAAGTTTGAGAGTTAGAGGGTCCTTGAGAACTGTTTAAAGAGTCCACCTCAAAAAAAGAAGGGCCAACTTGGCTTATTTGTATGTATTTTTTAACCGCTTCTCATGATAAAAGGGCAAGAAGAAAACATGTTGATACTTTGTAGAAATATATCTGCTGAGCAGATGCTTCAACACTGTAGAAAAGAACTAATTCCAGCAAGGGCTACAATAGCATTTTCAATCAGTGGCAGTAATGTGCCAGGAATGTAAAACAGGGAACTGATGATAATCCAGTTTATGAATCATAAAATCCATATGGAATACAAATATTTGAAAACACTATTAGGAAATCCTACTCCTTTTCTGAAGTCAGATTTAGAATATGTGAACATCACAGCAATTTAAAGAATAACATGGTGTACTGTGCATTAAGTTCCATTACATTGGTAAAATCTACTATCCAAAGAAAATCTAAGAAATCAAATATGCTTCTTGTTGATTATTCAGAAAAATACCTGTTAATGCAAAGACTCTAATTTCAAGCATTTCTTTTTAAATGCTAATACTATCCTTTGATTTTTAGTCCTCCTTGGGGAAAATATAAATCAGTCAAATATGCCTATTTTGCCTATGTCATGGCATAACCTAATTTGAGTTCAGGAATAGTCACCACAGAACAATCCCGAATGAGGGAGCCAAATAGCATTCATTAGAGCTATACAAGTCAACATAAGGGACTGTCCTGCGAACATGTTTTTTCCTGAGAAGAGAAAAATATTATTTGTTAGGCACAGATAATGGGTATGGTGCTGCATATAACAAAGTAAAACAAAGTTAAGTTTTCAAAAAAAAGAAATTGTATTTATAAATGGAAGAAGAAAACAAATAATATTCTGCCCACAGAACTACGTTCTGTGTTTGTACAGTGTCTCGCTCAATAGAGTACTGAGCCACATCTTTATGGACCAGCCCCTTTATCCTTTATGACTGCCACCATGTTAACTTTCCTCCCAGCTATGATAGCAGAATATAGGCAATCGTGTTACATTCTAACACTTATCTAGTAAAAGGCTAGCATGGGCTGACAGAGTTTTTGTTAGCGATCCTATCACCCTGTCATCTGAAGATGAACTACTCTAAAGTAAGCAAATCTCCAGTTTCAGAAGTTCATCTCATTCCAATTCTGAGCCTCCTGCTAACATTGCAATGTGTTGCAGCCATAGTACTAACCCATATAATTGTGATTTAGACATAAATTCTAGCGCAAATGTAAAGAAAACAAATATTTCTTGAGGACACAAAAAATTCTAAACCTTTGTTTTTTTTAAATAAAAGTACTTCACTTGTTTTCTTTTTAAAAATTTTCTTAAGTGTAACCTACATTCCATAATAGCATCTTTATTCCTCTGCCTTCAACAATTTGCGGTATTCCCAAATATATGGAAAATTTACAGCAACAGCATTAGACAGAGCGTGCCAGTATACAGATAAGAATATTTTAATAGTGTTCCTCCTGGTGGTAAAAATAAGAAGCTAAAGTTAACTCCCACTGAAATAATTTTGTCTACAGGTTACCTAAAGATTTTTTCCTTCTCAACTAAGCCCTGGTCTACACTACGGGGTTAGGTTGAATTTAGCCGCATAAGGTGGCCTTTAAAATGAATGCGTCTACACAACCAACCCTGTTCCGTCGACCTAAAGGGCTCTTAAAATCGACTTCTGTACTCCTCCCCGGCGAGGGGAGGAGCGCTAAAATCAACCTTGCTGGGTCGAATTTGGGGCAGTGCAGACACAATTAGATGGTATTGGCCGCTCCAATGTGACCACTCTGGACAGCACTTTGAACTCCGATGCACTAGCCAAGTACACAGGAAAAGCTCTGGGAAATTTTGAATTTCATTTCGTGTTTGGTCAGCGTGGCAAGCTCAGCAGCACAGGTAACCATGCAGTCCCCCCAGAATCACAAACGAGCTCCAGCATGGACCGAAAGGGAGACACTGGATCTGGTTGCTGTATGGGGAGAAGAATCTGTGCAGGCCAAACTCCGATCAAAAAGAAGAAATGCTAATATATATACCAAAATCGCACAGGGCATGGTGGAGAGAGGCTACAACAGGGACACACAGCAGTGCCGCGTGAAAGTTAAGGAGCTCAGGCAAGCCTACCAAAAGACAAAGGAGGCAAACGGTCACTCCGGATCAGAGCCCCATACATGCCACTTCTATGATGAGCTGCATGGCATTCTAGGGGGGACCCTACCACTACCCCACCACTGTACATGGACACCTGCAAGGGGAAGTCTCACGCAACAGGGAGGAGGATTTTGTGGAGGAGGAGGAGGAGAATGCGCAGGAGGCAAGCGGTGAATCCATTCTCCCCAGCAGCCAGGACCTTTTCATCACCCTGGAGCCAATACCTTCCCAAGACGGGATCCCTGACCCTGAAGCCGGAGAAGGCAGCTCTGGTGAGTGCACATTTGTAACTACAGTACAGGGTTTAAAAGCAATAGTGTTTAATGTTTGATTTGCCCTGAAGAATTGGGATGCATCTGCGGCCAGTACAGCTACTGGAAAAGTCTGTTAACATGTCTGGGGATGGAGCCCTCCTCGAGGTACTCTGAAAGCCTTTGCAGAAGGTTTCTGGGGAGGCCTGCCTTATTTCGTCCTCAACGGTAGGACACTTTACGACGCCAAGCCAGTAGCAAGTAGTCTGGAATCATTGCAGCACAAAGCATGGCAGCAAATGGTCCTGGGTTTTGGTTGCATTCAAGCAACATTCGGTCTTTATCTTTCTGTGTTAGCCTCAGGAGAGTGATATCATTCATGGTCACCTGGTTGAAACAGGGAAATTTTTGTAAGAGAACAATAAAAAGACCCCATTCATGCTGGGTTGTTTGTGCTTGGCTAACACGTTTTCTGAGCTTATGCAGTCCTCCCGCACTGATAGGGCACAGCTTAATGCATGGAGGCATTCAGTGGCAGAGGCCAGGAAAGCATTAAGTGAGTGTGAAAAGCAGAGGCAGGAGGCGATGTTGAGGCTAATGGGGGAGCAAACGGACATGATGAAGTGTCTGTTGGAGCCGCAGGAAAGCCAACAAGAGCACAGTCCCCCCACTGCATCCATTGTATAATCACCTGCCCTCCTCCCCAAGTTCCATATCCTCCTCACCCAGATGCCCAAGAATGCGGGGGGGGGGGTTTCAAAGCCTCTCTGATGCACAGCATGCTTAGCTGTGCTCTTCTAATCACCCTGGTGTCTGGCTGCTCAAAATCGGCCACCAAGCGATTTGCCTCAACCTCCCATCCTGCCATAAACGTCTCCCCCTTACTCTCACAGATATTATGGAGCACACAGCAAGCAGCAATGACAATAGGAATGTTGGTTGCACTGAGGTTTAACCTAGTCAGCAAACAGCACCAGCGAGCTTTTAAACATCCAAAGGCACATTCTACCACCATTCTGCACTTGTTCAGCCTATAGTTGAACTGCTCCTACTGTCCAGGCTGCCTATGTACAGCTTCATGAGCTATGAGAGCAAGGGGTAGGCTGGGTCCCCAAGGATAACTATTGGCATTTCAACATCCCCAACAGTCATTTTCTGGTCTGGGAAGTAAGTCCCTTCTTGCAACTGCTCGAACAGCCTGGAGTTCCTAAAGATGTGAGCGTCATGCACCTTTCCCGGCCATCCCACGTTGATGTCAGTGAAACGTCCGATGTGATCCACCAGTGCTTGCAGCACCATTGAGAAGTAACCCTTGCAGTTTATATACTGGTTGGCAAGGTGGTCCGGTGCCAAGATAGGGATATGCGTTCTGTCTATTGCCCCACCACAGTTAGGGAACCCCATTGCAGCAAAGCCATCCACTATGACCTGCACATTTCCCATAGTCACTACCCTTGATAGCAGAATGTCAGTGATTGCACTGGCTACTTGGACCACAGCAGTCCCCACAGTAGACTTGCCCACTCCAAATTGATCCAGTAGCAGTCAGGCGTTGCAAGCTTCCAGAGGGCTATCACCACTCGCTTCTCAACTGTCAGGGCAGCTCTTATCTTCGTATTCCTGCACTTCAGGGTGGGAGAAAGCAACTCAAAGTTCAAGGAAAGTGGCCTTGGCATGCGAAAGTTTCGCAGCCACTGTGAATCATCCCAGACCTGCAACTCTATGTGGTCCCACCAGTCTGTGCTTGTTTCCCGGGCCCAGAATCAGCGTTTCACTGTATCAACCAGCCCCACTGCCGCCATAATGTCCCAATTGCCACAGCCCATGCTTTCAGGAATGTCTGTGTCCATGTCCACATTCGTCCTCGTGCTGGCGTCTCTTAGCCAGGTTCTGCACATACTCCAAGATAATGCGCGAGGTGTTTACAATGCTCACAACAGCAACAGTGAGCTGAGCGGGCTCCATGCTTGCTGTGGTATGGCGTCTGCATGGGTAACCCAGGAAAAAAGGTGCAAAACGATTGTCTGCCATTCCTCTCACCGAGGGAGGGGAGACTAACGACATGTACCCAAAACCACCCTCGACAATGTTTTTGCCCCATCAGGCATTGGGAGCTTAACCCAGAATTCCAACAGGCCGTGGAGACTGCGGGAACTGTGGGATAGCTACCCATAGTGCACTGCTCCATAAGTCGATGGTAGCCACGGTACTGAGGACACACTCAACTGACTTAATGTGCTTAGTGTGGACATACACAATTGACTGTATAAAATTGA